TGTATTTTTTTTCCTCGATTTCTCTCTCGTTCTGTCGTACGATCATCTCTTTCATTCTTCTCTCTCTCTCTCTCTCTCTCTCTTTCTCTCTCTCTATGCAGCAGTAAAATCACTAACCGGTATATATCGACGAGTCAACGCGTAAAAACGACTGTAAGTACAACGTATTGCATTGTGATTTTGGAATTCAGCACTGTCGCACGCGGAATAGTCGAGCATGGCACGCTTGGCAGTGAAATAGTATTTCTTGTCCATTTTCAGCGAGAAAAAATGCGGCTCGAGTGCGCGTTCTATGTCGATATTACATTACATATCGTAAAACTGAGGTAGCTCCATTGTTAATCTCCGACCAGATACAAGTCGTTTTTTTTTTCCATCTTTTCCGCTCAAAGTAATCAGAGAAGAATTCTATCGTTTGTGTGTTCTATATATTTGTGATTCGAATGCGCTAATAATTTCGAACATCCTCGATATTGTAAAGATATTTTTTTCTCATAAAAAGAAAAAAAAAAAAAAAAAAGAAAAAGAACATTGCATTCTGCGAATACAAATCTATCTCGACTTGCAACGGGGAAAAACAACGATGGATAACACTTTGGTCTGTCTATCTTGACTCTCAAGACTTTTTATTATCGCCACAATTTCGAAGATGTTTCGAATATATCGCGATCTCTGGACAGAAGAAATTTAATAAAAAATAATAATAATAACAATAATAATCTACTATGGCTATTTCATTCGATTTACCTAAGTCTGTATGTGTGTATTCGTACCACGAAACGAAATAGTTTGAGCAGTGTTCGCATTGAAACGCGACCGGCGATTCATCCTCTATCCATCTCGTTATCACCTAGAAACGTAAATCTTCGAATTATTTTGAGCAGTCTGTCTAAAATATAATTTCCACATCGAAACGCGACCGACGTTCGACGAAATTCTCTACACCTTTTTTTTTTTTTTCTTTTTTCTTCTCTCTTTATTATTGTATTGTTCCATTGCCGGCTCGACTGTTCCGCGGAAGGAGGCAAATCCTTAAACCTATATAATCCATGGAGGCTATATTATCCCGCGCTTCTGACTATGTGTATATAAACGTTGTGTATACATAATTATTATATTATAATAATATACTCGCTATGCGGAGATGCAATGGTTTCGTCGAGATGACGAATTACTCGCCCCCCCGAAATCGTCATCGTAAAAAGTAACGTTACTATATGCTTTAGGTAATCATGAGCGTGAATATAGCGCGAGAAGAAGACTGATATTTAATTAATTATGGAGGTAGCTGTGGTGATTTTTCACAATCGTTTCTTTTTTCCCTTACTTCTTTTTTTTTTTTTTCTTTTTTCCTTTTAATATCCCTTTGCCTGCCTAATAAACCGCATAATCACGTACGTGGCTCGCGAAACAAATTCGAGCCGTGCGATTCGTCGCGACAACGAAATAATTTGTATGAAGATGCATCAAGTCGGATACAATATAATGTAATGTATAATATATATAGTGTATAATATACTTCGTTTACGGCCTTTCTTTTTCGCGAATGGAACGGCTCCAATCGATTTCACGGGGCACATTCGCTGCAGATTCGCAGACACGCGGTGTGCACACGCCTTGCCACTTGCCAGAGTAAAATCTCGTAACAAACAAGAAACAAATAAACAAACGAAACAAAACAGAATAGACGCTGGCTCGCGAATCATCCGAGCGTCCGTTTGACGCATAAAGAATCAAACCTGTAGTAGTAGTAGCAGTAGTAGTAGTAGTAGTAGTAGTAATAGTAGTAGTAGTAGTAGTAGTAGTAGTAGTAGTAGTAATAGTAGCAGTAGTAGTAGTAGTAGTAGTTTCTATAAGTAATAGTATCACGGCCTGGTTGCTTCAGATTTCCTGAGTTTGTTATTACATTTACAACAATGCATCATGTAATCGTGTCAATTTTTCAGAGTACCTGAGATGGTAGATCGCTCCCCTGCGAAATTTTTAAGTTTCGAGAGAAAAAGAAAAAGAAAAAACTGATTCTTCTGAGGGTGTCACGTCCTCCCTCCCAAACTTCAATCATCAATAATTGCATGATCAAAAATTTAACGCACGACAGAACAACATTCGTCAATCTTGTAATGCAATTTAAGAAGAAGAAGAAGAAGAAGAAGAAGAAACGGAACGAAGATTCGATCGATATTAAGCAGGACGATATTTAATTATAATTATTCGTATAATTATTCGCAAGTCTTTTTCGAAAAGACACGTTCGACAATGGTCTCAGGTTTACATTGCTCTCGCTCGAGCCACGATGATATCCTCTATAGCGAGGATATCCGAAAGACTTTGCCGGATTCCCTTTATTCCGGTAGGCAAGAGAATTTCAGAGACGGTTTATTTGCATTTCCCCCCTAAGAACTCGAACGAAACGTTCCCGACTGGCGAACTATTCGCGAAAGGTTTAGCCGCGTTTACGGCGTCGTTAATCCGACTTTATAATCACCGTAAAGCCACGCGGAGACGAGTGCACTCGCACGATTCGGCATTTACGAGCGCCGGCACGCTCGCCGTTTATTATTGTCGATACCGAGAGAGCCGCGGCGGCTCGCCGATACGGAAGACGAGTGTTCTGTCGTGCGTTCACCACCTTTTTCTCTCTCATCCTTCTTTCTATTTTCTTTGACCGAAGAATCATCGGGCAGCCAAGAATATATTTCATTCGCTCCTCTTCGCTTCGATTCGTTTCGCGATATTTTTCAAGCGATCAAAAGTGTTTGTTCGTTGCCAGTTTGTTCTTTTTTTCTTTCTTTCTTTCTTTCTTATTTGTTTATTTTTTTTTTTTTTTAATTTTTTCATTTTCCTTTTTAACAGTTTTCCAATTTTTAATCGATCGGTTAGGGGAAAGGGGAGCGTTTTCCACGATTACGTTCGCACGATTGTCTCTCTAACAACTATTGCAATACTGTAGTTGGTGGTTATTTTATTCCAAATGACTATTGCGAACTACGTTCAACGGACTATTTTATTTCAACCCGGGGATACACCCGACTGAAGGGTGAGATGACGGGGTGCTGGCGCGATAAAGGGGATCGTTCGTGTAAAAATATTTTAATATGTATATGTACATTTCGTATATACATACAATATATTTCTGATTGTGTATATGTATATATATATATAGATATAATTATTTATATGTATATATAGCTATATAAATACTGTCGTAGAAAACTATGATCTGCAGGGAGGGTATCGTGAATATCTGTCACTTTAAAGGGATAGACGAACGCACCCCGCCAACCCTTTTAACTATAATGTTTGCTTACGTGCCTGTACGCAAACGTGTGTGTGTGTGTGTGTGTGTGTGTGTGTATGTGTGTGTGTATGTATACGCATTTGCAGCGTTCGATAAATCTGTACATGTGTCAGTGTACATATATATATTTCAATGTGTGTATTGCGTGTACGTGTTTGCATATAACATACATTATCGCGACGATTGATCGAAATCGACGCTCGTATCTGTACAGTTAAAGAGAAAAAAAAAAAAAAAAAAAAAAGAAGAAGAAGAAAAACAAAAAATTGACAAAAGATTAAAAGAAAAGCGAAGAAGAAAGTCTATCGACGAGATCACTTGTGTTGGATTCATCAACTTTTCCACGCGATTACGATCAACGCGTGTACGATTTGTTGATCGTCATGGATGGTTATTGAAATAATTAAGGGGAGACGCTTTCTGTGCAATTTTTCTCCGGTGAAGAAACAGCGAAAGAATAATGACGACGAAAACGAATGGAAGAAAAAAAAAGATTAAAAAAGATTAAAAGGAAAAAGAGAGTCTTAAATCTCGTCGTGTTTGATTAATTATTCGCAATGGCACAAAGAAAAAAAACGATCAAACCCTATTTTCCATTTTCCTCCCTTCTTCGTTCCGACCCGGACAGACAGTTGTCACAAACGCGTATAACGATACCTAGAAAACCTTTTAGCTTCCTCCTTCGATCGATGTCCACTATATTTTCTTTTTTTTTTTTTTTTTTTCTTATTTTCCATTATCTTTTTGTTTTCTTCTCTTTAAGATTCTTCTCCTCGACAAACATCGCGAATAAATTTGTACTCTGCGAAGAATTTCCTCTTTTTTTTTTTTCTTATTTATTTACTTATTATTCTTTATTTTTCTTCCTCCGGATTCCTCCCTCTTTTTTTTTTTATTTTTAATTTGAATTTTTATCTTAACCCTTCTTTCGCAACACGATCGCACCTGATCCGTAATATTTATAGAGAGCTTTCTTCAAGGCAAGAAGTGGTTTCTTTGTACCGATTAGACCTGGATTCGCGTCTCGATCGATCATATTCCCGCATTCTCTCCATTCTACGATAAAACACGTCTATCCACGAAGCTTTCCACCGTGCAAATTCGCGCAGCGACGACTCGTGAATCTTTCTGCGAAGCGAACGAGCGATTAAAAATTTCATCTGTCCGTAACAAGCGTTAAAAATAACACGGATCGAGGTCGCACGATATCGATAAACGGTATCGATTATGATTCTACTATTTTTTTTTTTTTTTCCTTTTTCTTTCTCTACAAAGATCTACCCGTGGCCTCGTCCCCGCGGATTCGTATACAAGTATTTCGATCGTATACAAATACCCCACTGTGCACGTATGTATGTACAATATAAAGATTTTAAAAAATCGAGGAATCTCAGCGTCGAACTTCTTCAACATCCCGCCTCTTCTAATTCTCTTATCCTGATAATTCTGTGAACATTGTTTCAATGCGATCAGTTCTCTCTTAATTATTGTCGCGGATAAAAAGTTTATACTCTTCGATTGGTAAGCTTAAAATCTCTAATAAATAAGATCTCGAGGATTCGTCGAAAGGGGGTTCGATTTTCGACGCTGCTCATCAAAAAGTTTGCTCGTCTCGCGCTCGATCCACGATCGATCGTCGGTTTCTTTTTTTTTCTCTCTCTCTTTTTTTTCTTTTTCTTTTTNTTTTTTTTTTTTTTTTTGATTTTTCGAATCTACTACTTCTTTTTTTCTTTTTTTCCTTTCTTTCTTGGACGTATCGTCTCGCGCAGAAATACACAGCTTATATTCCGTTCGTGAACGACGTATTCTTATAGCGACAAAATCACTAAGAGTCCCTGTGTTTCATAGATAAAATGCTCTTACAGGCTAAGAAAGGGTTAGTATACTCCGAGTATTGTTTACAACCTACTAAATCTAGGCAAAAAAAAAAAAAAAAAATAAAAAGAAGAAAGAAAGAAAGAAAAAAGAAAAAAAGAAAGAAAGAATAAAAATAGGTGTTAAAGATCTAAAAAAAAGAAAAAAAGGATTCATCTTCAGCCATAATCGATTTTCTCACTTATTCGTCATTCGTCACTCTTCCATGCACATTCGCGCAAGAAAAAAAATTCGCGCATTAAAAGAAAAAAGAAGAAATGAAACAAAATGATAAGAAAGGACGAAATTAATAATTATTATGATAAAGAACGTGAAAGGGAAGAAAACTTTTTGTTTAAAACGCGATGCGCCACTACGTATTGCTAAGTTTCTCTTTTTTTTTTCCTAGGCGTATCTAATTATATGTGTATTGTGTGTATATATATATATATATATTTATATGTATATAATATATATTCTCAAGATATACTGTAAATCAAAGTAGCTCGTGTATGCATTCAATTAGTAGGAACCATTTTAATATTATACTTCTCGAACCTGGACACGAAATCGCGCGCGCAGTTACGATCTTAGAAACTGCTTCTAACTTCTTTCTTTCTTTCCCATTTTATATATATATATATATATATATATCTTCATCGCCACTCGTGGAACGAGAACCACGTGTGTATAATTTACGAGGATGATCGGAAAAAAAAGAAAAAAAAGAAAAAGATAAATAAAAAATAAAATTTGAAATACAATTTATCGTGAAACGAAAAATCGTTAGAGAACGAGAAGAGACGGATTTATAAATAAAACGAGGCTAGAGAGGAGTATCGAGATGAGTCAGAGCTAACGACACGTTCAAGAATGCGGAAAGACTCCGATCGATGCTCCATTAGGAGCAAGACGAAGTTCAAGAAAAGATGAAACAGTTCTTCCTTTCCACTCGTGGCTTCTACCTTGTTTCCTCATGCGTCACGTTTCTTCTCTCTTTTTTTTTCTTTCGAAAAGAAAGAAAACACACAACAAAAAACAATACACGAGCAACTAATCGTCTATGAGAAGATCTCTACGGATAAAAAGAATCGTGTCGTTCCCTTCAAGAGAAAAATGATCGAAATAAAGAACTTAAGTACTAAGAAAAGTCATGGCAAGCCCTTAGGGGATGAATCTCTTTTTCCATTTCGATTAATTCGACGGATTTTCTATGCAAGAATGAAAACTATGAAAGAGGGTAAAAAAAAGAAAAAAAAAAAAAAAAAAAGGAACGACAAGAATAAGGTTAATTGATTTACCCGAGTCGAGACCTTTTTTTCTTTTTTTTTTTTTTTCGTAGTTTCGCGCGCTACTTCGCCTAATTCCATTTTCCAGAACCGAGTAGAACGCATCGTCTCGACCATCTCTCGAATCCTAACGAGATTCTACTTTATCACGTTTTATCGTAACAATTATATCCCCTCCTGGCTGGTCAAAGAAAGCTAGCCAAAGCTTCTTCGTTCGAACACCGTTCTAACCTAAGTTTACAAACGAAACGAGAAACAACGAGAATATTTCATTGATCGACACGATGAGATTACCCGGTTTCTCCGACTTTACATATCCCGCCTTTTTCTTTTTTTTTTTTCTATTCCTACGATAAAACGAGTAGATAATTAACAATCGTAATAATCGTCGCGATTCTAAAGCGACACTCTTCACGAGACACGACCGTACGTAATTGATTCGCGCGCGAATTCAAATCAAGCGCGGAAACATAATCTCTCTTTCTCGTGTGTGTGTGTGTGTGTGTGTGTGTGTACGTGCATATGTGTGTACACCATGCGTGAAAAATTGTACTGTGTGGGCGTGTGTCTATGTATTTTAATGTACGTAATGCCGTGTATTCGCGTCTGTAAGTGAGTGTACGTATCTTGGAAAGATGCACGCGTGCATCTAAAAAATATAAAGGGTGCTAAACCCTAACGCTACACACGTGTATCATTCTACTCGTTATTCTAACGCGTCCTTTTCTCTCCAATTATTATCGTTATTCTTTTTCTTTTTTTTTTGTTATTCGTATTGTGTACGTACGTACGTACGCGTCGTGGTATACTAACTTCTCTATAAATCTAGACAATATATATTTTTCCTCAACATTTATATATAATAATAATATAATATAATATAATAATAATAATATCTTCTCGGGAGTCGCGTACATATACGCGACGGTCACCGTTTTTTCTTTTCTCTCTCACTCTCTCTCTCTCTCTCTCTCTCTCTCTCTCTCTTTCTCTCTCTCTCTCTCTTTTTTCTTCCTTTCTCCCTCTTTCTCTCAAACAGCTCAGTTTTAGAAAATAAAAAGAATCGAACAATTGATCCTCCCTAGCATCCTCTCGTCTAAGGTTTCGTCGATTCGCTGGGGCGATCTCTCGTTTTTTTTTCGACGAACGAATCAATCGTTTCGACGAGACCGTGAAAACGCCGGTCAGTTGGAACTGGTTGAACGACGTCTGTCGCGATATATCGATATCTGATTCTTCGTATTCATAAATCATTTTTCATAAATGAGTAAAAATCATGCGAAGAATAGCCATGACGATATCATTTCTTTTTATCGTCTCCCTGATTCTGATTCTCTCTCTCTCTCTCTCTCCTCTCCCCGAAACATCATCATCATCGTCCGTGAGATTCGTCTTGGTCTGTCCTATCACTTATCGTTTATCGTGGTTCACTGAGGTAGACAGATGGAATATTTTAAACTGGGGTAAAAACTGTATACGCGCATATACACGTGTTTACATGATGTGTGATAGAGTATATATATATATATATATATATATATATATATATGTATAGGTATGTGTTTTTATGCGTGTGTATGTATCGTGTTCGTAAAATAAAAGGGAAAACGGAAATCACTGATCCGTTTCTCCGAGTGTAGCGAAGGAGGGATTCGTTTCTCCGATCGGAACCGGCCCGGTTTATATAAATGTAAACGTGTGAATTATACGTGTGTGTCATGACTTCGTTTCATCTTCTTTCTTCATCTTTTCTTTGGAAAAACAAAAAAAAAAAAAAAAAAAAAAAAAAAAAAAAAAGAAAAAAAACAAAAATTCTATTCTCCCGCAACGAAAAGAAAACAATGGGAAAACAAGTCTCTACTGAGGTAGTGGATGGATTTGACTGCGAGCGAAGGGAACGCGCCCAGATCCAAGATCGGATCCAAGAAAAAAAAAGAAAAACGCGTCTCTCCAAAGCGCTTGCTAATAATAATCGGGTCACTCGTGTAACAAACTATGGTCGCAGATTGCCGCGAGCGTGCCACCTATTCGGCTTTAACGATTTCCGGCTCCTCGTTCTCGCTAAAGTCGTCCTCTTCGCCCCCCGACGACTCCCCCTCCTCCAACAATCCAACGTGCCTGTCCTGCATCGCGTCCTGGCGATCCTCGTGCACCACACCGGGCCCCCGACCCTCGTCCCGGCCGATCATGGGATAATCCTCGATCCCACGACCGCCCAACTTGTCCATGGCGCTCATGTGCGCCATCTTGGCCGCGTGCGCCGCCGCGACAGCGGCGGCTTGTTCGGGGCTGAGGCCCATCGTCGTCAAACCGGAATTCTCGGCGATAAATTGCAAATATGTGTCGAGAATGGCTGATCCCGTCGCGCTGGTGTTGTGATGGCTCGGATGAAGATGGCCGGGTGGATGAAGGGGCGCCGTGTTCGGCTCGCGGCTGCCGTGCAACGTGTCCAAAGACTTGGCCGCTATCGCGGTCGTGGTCGAGTTCTTGGTGCTGCCGCTGCCGTTGTTCCCGCTGCCGCTCACCTTCGTGATCACGGTGTTGTTATTGGGCGTGGGTGATCCATACCTGAGGCTGAGCGGCAAAGTGAGATCCTCCGGATCGTCCCCGCCGCAGATGCTGCTCCCAGCCTCGGACGGGGCGCCCCCTCGTGGTATCTCGAGCCTCATATCGCCCCTTCTCGGGCCGGTGGGGCTGGCACGGGCTCGCAACTCGGCGGGACTCACCTTGACACCTGCTTTGGCCAACAGACGAGACGCCAATTCAGGGTCGAACGGGCTGGGCATGGGTAGGACCGGTAGATCCTTGGTGCTGATCCCTCGATGTTGGCGCGACATGTGCGAGTGCAACGAGTTCCTCGACTTGGCCACGGTACCGCACAGCACGCAACGATACCCCGGACAGATCGTGTGCTTATCTTCCAGGTGAGTGCGCAATGTGTGGGCGGATCGATAGATCTTACCGCATTTCGGGCAGGGGCGTGGATCCGTGGCGCGGACCCGCATCATGTCCAAGCCGCGGCGGGCCACTGAAAAAAGAAGACAAACAAAAGGGTGATGAAGGCGAGTTTCCCCAAGTGAAAGTTTCCTCTATCGTTTTTCGAGGAGCTTGCGATGGCCGATGGTGGCGGCGCAAGTCCCGGACCGAGTAAACCACGTGGGAAGAGTAGCTAAAAAAAGTTAGATTAGAAACGAAACAAGATAAAACTTAAAGGAAAGATGAAACTTTTTTCTGCTTTCCGTTCTCGTTTTTAGAATCTCGTTCGCCTCGGTAATTCGGTAAATCGAATAAAGATGGATGTCCATTGATGGATTGATCAGCCACGTCATCTTCTTTGAATACCTTTTATTGTACAAAGCATTACTTAAATAGTATATACTTTATTTCGTGTGTCTTACGTATAATCTTACGTACCCTAGTATCTGCTAAAATAGTGCGTATGATGCTCTATACATTGTCCGTGGCACGAGCTGTCGCTTGTGAGAGCGATTTCCATCCAATCAAAATTTGTAAAATCAAGGCGCGTTGTGTTTATCGAAAAGAAAAATATATATATATATAAAGTAAAGAAAAAAAAAAAAAGAAAGAAAAAAGAATATCGTAATCGAGACTAATCGTTGAATAATCGAGAATAAGAAATTCGTCGTTTCTTTCTCGTGAATATATCATCGTCACTCGCGCAACCAACAACTCGTGCACACGCGTATATGTATTTATATTTATATATATTTATATAATTTCCTCGTAATTTATTCGCAGCGTATCCTCTAGTAACTATCGGTGTGTCGAAAAAAACTTAACCTGTCTGGGATATATTCTTCTACCTAGAGAATACTGACGAAAAAACAGAAGATTGTAGAAAAATAAGGCTAGGCGCTGTTCGAATCGACTCGTTCATCGTGTTCTGTTCGTCGATCGTTTTTCAAATGTTCGCTTATATACGTTTAACATATGTTATTACATATGTTCGTCTGTTGTTTAATATATATAATATTTTTTTCTCTACGCGTGTGGATTTACGTGTAAATATACGTATTAATTAATTATTCGTATTGCGGCGCGTTTCTTCGGATAACGATTACGGAAGCATCGTAAAACTAACTTCTCGATACACGTCCAATTTTTTATTTTTCCTCGTTTATCTATTTTTATTTTTATTTTCTCGCGCGTAAAATCCTCGGATTCCAATTTTCCTATCGTTTCGATTTTTTAGCTGTTACGATTACAAGATCGACTAACGTTCCGCTCGTAATCTAAAGAAATTCTCGACTCGTGTTTTACTCCGCTCGTTTCTTAAAAACTACGCACGTTAACGTAAGGCTGGCTTACTCAGCTTTAGAGGAACATTGTTTTCTCTTGTTTAAGATTACGTTAACCTAACCGTTATTACATTATCGTAGTCGTATAATCAACGTCGATCTTATTAATACACGATCTCTATTGGTGTGACTACCATTCTTATTATTTTATCCATTCTTATTACTTTTTTATTTATTTATTTATTTATTTACTTTTTTTTTTTATTAATCAGGCTCTACTAGAAATACTGTTTCGTACATTTTCTTTTTATACAAAATCAACTCTTTCTCTCTCTCTCTTTCTATATATATATAGATTTACTCTTTTTATATATATATATACTCTCTCTATTTATTTATATTTATATATATTTATATATATATATATATAATATATTCCTTTTTTTCTTTTTTTATGTATATATATATATAATAATAATAATAATATTATTATTAATATTAATAATAATAATCTCCCGAATATTTACAAAATGTGCGCTTCTCGTTTAATTGTCAGGAAGAGAGGTGGGTGCTTGTGCGACAATTGTCTCGATAATAAAGCACTAAAAAGGGGACCGATCATCGTAGGCGCGCAGACTCGTCCCGAAATCATTCTAAACCCTCCTCCCCTCCTCCTCCCCAAGATGTTATACTTACATTCAACCAGATCGCAATATCGCGTATACAATACCTTCGAACTCTTTATAGACTCTGGCACGCGAGACATTTTTCCTTGAAACGCGCCCTCCACCCTCTGAGACTACCAAGACACGTGTATATGCAATCGATAAACGGCGAAACTTTTATATTGGGGATGTAAAAAAAAAAAAAGAAAGAAAAAAAAGAAAAAAGAAAAAAACCGCGCGCATACGAAACAAGAGAATACGAGAATGGAGAAGAAGAAGAAGAAGAAGAAGAAGCAAGCTCGAAGCAAGAAAGAGAAAGAACGAGATTAAAAGAAGAAAAAAATAGGGGGGAGAAATAAGTAGAGAAAACCCGATAAGAGAAAAAAAAAAAAGAGAAGAAAAAAAAAAATAGCTACGCGAGTCTAAGGTAACCCGGATAATATTATCCATCGGCCTGTTTATCAGACGTAAGTCCATCTGAGCGTCTTTATCTGATCCCATTGTACCGGATGCTTCAAACGCATGTGATTCCTCACGCTGTTGGGATGAGAGAACGTTTTCGCGCACGAGGCAACGGGACAGGTTGGCGAGTCGCGCGGATAATGATGCTCCAAGTGAGCCCTCATCGTGCTGATGTCCTGCAACGTCCTACAACAAAGGGGACACCTGTAACCGTGCTGTTGATGATGATCGCGTATCATCTTCTGTTGCCTGTAGTCAGCCGGGCTCCGTTGATACTTGGTCGTGGTGGTGTTGGTGGTCGACGCGGTGGTCGTCGACTGGTCTTGCTGTTGCTGTTGCTGCTGCTGCTGCTGGTCGTCTTCCTGTAGCGCCTGATGATGATGATGGTGAGGAGGAGGAACGGATAGTGGATGATGATGACGATGCCGATGATGTTGCTGGTGATGGCTGTGGTGGTGGTGGTAAGCCGCGCCCTCTGCCTCATCGAGCCCGTGATCTGCAACCACCACCACACCAACGTTACCACCAGCCACCACCACCATAAACTCAAACCCAACCCCTAATAAAAACAGAGAGTACCAAAGCGCGCGAATACGCGTTCCATCCGAGCCCTATACCCACCCGCAACATCCCCATTGATTCATGCGGAATATCTAGAGAGGAGGTTACATCTCCCGCAAATGGTTACCGGTTACCGGTGTATATATATATATATATATCCGACGGATCGCTAATTGCTCTCTCTCTGCTCGATATCTCGCGCAATTGGCAGACAGAGGACTCCATGGAATTCGTGCAATCATCGCGTAAATCGAATACTACTACGGCAGAGATGCTTGAACGTGTCCAGGCAGAATCTCACGTGCCAGATTATTGGGGGGGGGGGGGGGGAGGGGCCGGAACCGTTCGATTCTCTCTGTGAATGTACTATGTGGTATATTTGTATGCGTGGGGTGGCTGAACACGGACGCTTCTCCGGATATTACATTTCCAAGGATAAGAACTGGACACGCGTTTTGGCTCGAAGGTGGCGGAGGTGTGTAAGCGTGTGTTCTTTGTTATTAACTCGGAAAATACCTCATTTCCATTGCGCAAACGATCGAGCGAACACATTGTGCATCACTCGATCGATAGATATTTCGTGCCATGCGATTATTCTTTTCTTACTTTCTTGCCGGAAATCTATTATTACGGATATCTTTTATATATGTACCTTGTCTCTCGTGATAAATATGATATATTGTAATCTCTCTCTGGAACGTTGCCTCGGTTACAGTCACGTAAAACCATCCGATTCCTTTTTCGCGAACGAAATTCCCGAAATTCGCTGCTGCCTCGGCTAATCCTCTCGTTTAAACTCTATAGAAAATAGGAATATCTGAACGTGATCTCGATGATACAGGATACTAGCGAGCCGCGTTTCGAACGTCACGCGTTTCAACTTTCTTCAACGATGTACAAATAGTTTAATAGAAATAACCGGGCATAACCCGCCGATTCACCCAGTTTCCTCCAATATCCCACCCCTCGTAAAAATAACGCGACGATAATTCTACCAAATCCGATCGACCCCGAATAATTTCCGTGAATATGGATACACCGATCCATTCCAATTCGAAAATAACCCGACCGAGAACCCGGATTCGTTTCGATATCGAACAAGGCTATCCTGTATCGACGAGAGGCGTGAGGGAACGACCCCCGACTTCATCTGGTCGCGGATCGTTTCTCATGGGTGTTCGACGACGACGACAATGACGACGACGACAATGACGACGACGACGACGACGACGACGACGACGACGACGTGGGGATGGCGGAGCACGAAGAGGATTGTACTCATGGCAACGAGGAGGACGAAGAGGGCGACTGATGCTGTTGCTGATTAGGATTGTTCAGGTTTGGCCGTTGGTGTATCCCGTGCGCCTGAAGCTGATGATTGATCAGGTAATGCTTGGTCTTGCACCGTTTCCCGCACACGTTGCACTGCGGCCACGTCTCCGGGGGCGGCCAATTCGAGTGGACATTTTTCACGTGTTGTCGAAGGTTGCTCGGTGACGAGTAGCTTCTGCCGCAGTAACGGCAGAGAGGCCTAGCATCGTCGTGGCGCAGTGCCGTGTAGAGTCTCGCGAAATTCTCCACGGCTGCCGTAGTTTCGTTGGCGGCCGCAGCCACCGCCGCCAACGCGGCTTCCTCCCTCTTCGGCATCACCGATCCTACAACCAGGACGTGCCCGTCAGTTGATTCTGTCTGTCTTTCTCTCTCTTTCGTTTCTTTCTTTTTCTCTTTTCATATCCCTTTCTCTCTCTCTCCCTCTCTTTCTCTCTCTCTCTTTCTCTCTGTTTCTTCCTTTATCTTACTCATTCGCTCGCTCATTTTTTCTCATTCCCCATCTCTTACTCTCCCTTGCACTCACGATTTATTTCTCTCCGTCGTTCATTCCTTCTTTTTCTAACTGCCGCCCGCCACATTTACTCTTCTCTCTTTCTCTTCACGCGCACAATCGTACACAAGTCGCTCCTTCTTACGTACATTCACACACGTCGAGCCTCTCTCTCTTTCTCTCACTCTGCACCGACACACACCCACGCTGGAGTCACACACGCGTGACCAGCCTCTCACACGAGTTCCTTTCCTTTTTC